GTGAACTGCGCATGCAAGGGATCTAGGTTGCACACTCCTTATGAGAATCTAATGCCTGATGATCTGAGGTGGAGCTGAGGCGGTGATGGGAGGTGCTGGGGAGCAGCTGCAAATACAGATTATCATTAGCAGAGAGGTTTGACTGCACAGAGACCATAATAAATCAATTGCTTGCAGACTCATATCGAAACCCTATCATGTAATGCTCTTGAATCATCCCAAAACCACCACCACTCCGGTCCGTGGAAAAATTGTCTTCCACAAAACCAGTCCCTGGTGCCAAAAAGGTTGAGGACCGCTGTGGTACCTGACTGGAAGTCTTTCTTCCAGGGATTCCCCAGAAGAAGGTAATGATGGCAGGCTAGCATTACTCAAGCTAAATCTCCTGAAAAATCCTTCCAACAGCTTTTCCCTTTAGGCCAGCTCTTGGAAATTTAGACGGTGATGTACTTTGGAGCTTTGGATTTCCTGCCCAAACTCAGAAGTTTGGGACTTAATAAAACTTGCCAGTCCTGAAACACAAGGGGTAGCTGTGAAACTATGCATATCATACACTGGGAAAGATGTAAGGAACATTTCCCTTTTAAAACACTATTGCCACATTTCTGATTATAATAAGGAGAAAGGGGGGAAATAGGAAAAAATAGGGAAACTCTATATGCAAAGAATCCGAATCAAATCAAGAAACTCAGTTTAAGTGAACAAGCCACATATAATTATTCCTACCCAAATAAGTTTTGGATATGTGTACAGTTTATTCCTGCAATGATAGTTTAAGGTAAGTCATCTGCCCTCCTACTTAGGTATTGGATGCCTTTCTTGCTTCTCCATCCTATCTCTCAGTTGTGTAAAATGCAGAATTAAATCCAAACCTCTTAGAGGAAATGATAACTGTTTATCCCAATTAAGCAAAAAGTCCCACTTCTAATGCCACAGGCCCAGCCAGGATAATAGGAAAAAAGCACCTAGAACTGGAACCCACTAGGTATTCGAAGGGGTACTAGAAATGCTTTTCAGTGATAAGTCCTTATATATTTATGAAGCATACATTCTAAGATATATAAAACATAGATGGTAGAAAGAACAGCAACATCAGTTTGATAAATATTTCACCATTTCACCAAGCAACATATTTGCTGGTTCAAAGGCAATGTAGAGGAGGGGGGAATATAACCTTTGCCTGTTGCTAGTATTCTAAAAAAGCTCTTCAAGCTACAAGGGTTCAGTCTTCTGCCCTAAGATCTTAGGCTAAGTCATCGCTGCATGTCCTTTAAGAACTATATTTGAGCTACCATCCATCTCCCATATCTTCTGCACTTCTGTCCATTATCTCATCAAATCCAGATTGTTCTTATATTATTTTGCCAGGTTCCTAGTTCTATTAGATACCGTATGAACTCCAGTTATGAAGATCTCCCTAACAGGCCCTATTTTAGGTG